GTCGTGGCCTGTGTAAAATCCATGAATTCCTTTGTGTTTCAAAATTGTGTCAAACTCGATCACACCTGCACACACCTGTACGTTGTGCAAGTTTCACCATAAACAAAACAGTCCGAAAAACGTCATGACTGCATTCCACAGCTGGGCAACCTCTGTATTAAGTATCAGAGCAGTATTGTAACTATTAAAGCATCTAGTTTAGTGGACTTGTAGAGACAAAACAACTGAGCTCTTCACTAACTCTTGTGAGCTTTAATTGTTAAAATGTTGTTACATCATCAAAATATACCTGGAGTTGTGTTGTGTTTTAGTCACACAAATGGTTAAGTAATTAGTTGGTCTACATCTCCAAAACTCCAATGTTAACAGCTGCTTTTTACCTTCAGTTTAGTAGAGACTGGCAATTCTGAATAAATTATAATTAAGGTGTATGCAGTTTAAAACCAAAGTGGAGCACTTCATGCAATACCACATGACACCACAAGGAGGAACAGAATGTCTTTTTGAGAGAAGAAGTGCAGGCTCTGTGCATTGTACAAGTGTGGATGAAACTAAACAAAACAAATAGTAAACAACATTACAACATAGATAGATCAGAAAGATCAGATCAGAAAATAGCACAATATGGACCCCTTAACTAAGATTCAGCTCACAGTGCACATTTCCAGGAGCATTAACATTTAGAAAAGACTGAAATATTAATTGCCTAAATAACGCAATGAGGAAATACATGCATTTCAGAACAGTGTCGTAATGTCTTTGACTTGTTTTCATTAGGGCAACGAGAGATTAAGCTGCAAAAAGTATGAAATAAATATTAATCTATGCTGTTTTTATAGAGGGATTTTTAAGTGCAGAGGCTCAGAGTCACAACTGAGGGGAGAATGAATTACTAATTAAGATTACTGAATTGCAAAATCTATGTTTGTTGTATCTGTCCCTAAATAAACAACAGATAAAATAATATATTGTCAATTGCTATGGAATGAAAAATTAGGTCCTAATTTTTGCCTGCCACTGATGGATGGATGCACTAGACCACGAGCTTGTCACCGTGGAAATGTTATTGCTTTGTCTGGAATGTTCCGCAGTATGGCAAGTGTTATAACATACAGTACAATACTGTTTGCTCTCTGTTACTGTTGCCTCCACAGATCCAACTCTGTGGCATCACCTGCTTGTCTCCATACACATGGACATGCAGTGCACCTTTAAAGGGTATGAAAGTTACATTAGAGATTTTGAATGCAAAATTGTTTGATATTGAATAAGTAACCATGAACATCAAAATAATAAGAGCAATCTAATAAGAGGTTAGACACACTGTGATGGGTTGGTTAAACAGTACTTGAATATTGAATATAATAGATAACTGGAATATTGCTGTTTTATCACTCCCCTAGTGTGGGTGCAGGACTGCCACCCTAAGCTGCAAAACACTGATTAAATTCACAATGGCACATGGTGTAAATATTTGTTCACATAAGGCATACATAATTTGGGTTTGGTCAACTTTTTAGCAAGTTTGACAAATTGTAATGGCTAGCTAGAGTATTAGTGGAGTGTTCAGTGCAGAGGTCAGTGTCTATCATGAAGTATCCAGTGAATAAACAGTAGTATGTTATGCCTGATCTAGGTCCGTAATTGTAAGATAGATCAAACAGGTTCAGCTGATGAGCCAGACTGCTGCACAACTTTACTTTAACAATGCCGCCCTCTACTGGTCTCACGTTGAACTTCCCATTATTGTATTGATTATTATACGTTTGTATTTCCTTCTATTATATTCCATTATATTAAAATTATTTGAGACCAGCCAAATAAGTGACCTTCAAGTTGAGCGTGTCTTCTAGCATCAGGGCAGATTCTCGTGAGAACTGGACTTAAGTGTCAAAGTGAACACCATTTATGATGTGTGAGACATTAACACGTGCAATGAGACCAAATGAATCAGTGCAAATGTAATAAGAGCCTATGGGAATGAGCATCTTCTCCTGTGGGAAAGGGACTATAAATTATGCTGGAAAACACACTTTGGTTTAGTTCAAATAAATATGTCACTACAGCAGAACAAGAGTATACTAGAGCTAACTAACCCATGTCCAAATGGATCGGCTTACGCTGTCAATGATACAACAAATACTTTCTGTAGATAACAAAACATATTTGGAACATGGATTACTTTCTATTAAATAAAAAGTAAGCAGGAAGCTTCAGAGGGTACATTACATGGCCAGCAAATATCACATAACTAGAATAATCAGATTTTTGGTTTGTTTCTACATAAACAAAAGAAATCTGATGAAAAGCACCATGTGACATGTGTCAGTTAATTCAGAGATTTTATGAAATATCAAAATCTGAGCAATGTGAGGGTTTCAATTACTGCAATTGCAAAAGATTAATTGAAAAATATATTGCAGATCCCATTGCAATAATGATGAAGTATTTTTTTCCCAAATGCATTTAGCCCTACTGTAATGCACTGTGTCTACAGTTTCCTAAAGCCATGTTAATTAAAATTATTATACATACTTTTGTTTCTCCTCTGTGTGATGTACTGTGTAACTTTTCCCATGGAGGGTCTGCCACCTTCTTGTCTCTACAGAGATGTTATTGCTTTGCTTGGAATGTTCCACAGTATGGCACTAAAGTTATCTATGTCCATGGAGACATTCAGGTGACAGCACTAAGTCAAGTTACAGGTCAGATCTGTGGAGAGATGACCTTGATCACAGGAAGAATGTACAAAAAAAACAAAAAACCTGCCATTGAATAAAGGCAAGACTGATATTTTTAACGCCATACTCTGGAGCATTCCAGGTAAAGCAATCCAATCACGAAGAAAAGTTTCATAGAGGACTTTTAAGTTTTGGGATAGCCTTTACATCTGTGTGTTCCCTGCCTATTATGTTGTTTAATGCTTACCTGCCCATTTGCCTGTGTGTCCTCCATGTTCTATGTAAGTGTTAGTCAAGCCTCTATCTCCAGTCTGGCCACACTTTTCTCTCTCCTCAGGTGTGACTCTGAGCCTATGCACAGACCTGGGCTTGTGCCATTTGAGCTTCTGTGGGAACACAACTCACACCCTCATTAGGAACAATGTGTTAAAGTCTCTTTCTCACCCCACACACTTCTGAGAAGCAATAGTGCCCATTTTCAGACACTCTAACTAAACTAGAAAAGCGATTCTCGAGCTGCCACTTTACCAATTTGTTTGACTTTCAACACCTTTAAAGGTGCACTGAGACACTTTTCTGGTGAAAGGTCCGTCAGATGCTTTTCTCTGTGGAGAAAGCTTTGTCTTATAGCTTTGTCTGGAATGTTTCACAGTATGGTATTAAACCTTTCTATCCTCATGGAGACTGAACCAGACCAAATAACAGGTCAACTCTGCTCACAGTCAGAATGACTGTTTTTAGGTATTTTTGCACTCTAAAACCACTTGTAAAGTAATAAATGTAAAGCAGAACTGACTAATGTCATACTGTGGAACATTCCAGATGGAGCAATGGAGCAATTCATAGAAACAAGCAGGCGATGGATCCCCAACCAAAAAGTTACATAGTGCACCTTTAAAGTAAGCCACAAATAATTTACAAACCTTTGATTAAAAAGCTGATAGATCATGACTGGATATGACTGAATTAAACATGTTTATATGTTATTTGTAGTTTATTTGTAGTAGTCAAAACCTCTCAAATGTTGTTATTCTTTCATTACACTCTCAGATACCGACACAGCCAAAGCCGTCCTGGGGTAGTGATGAAATGAGGTAGTGATGGAAGTAACCTGCTAATCTGCATCATCAACTCCTCCAACCACCACATCACTCATGCACACACCACATTAATGCTAAGCATGGTGGACGAAGTGTCTTGCCTAAGGACACAATGACAGAATAAGATGTGGGAGTGGAAATCGATCTTCATTGACTTATGGTTGGGACAAGCATTCTTACTAAGACACTCTCGGATAGCACATGTACTCTTGTTTGTGCATTTTTTCTTCATATTAATACAAAAAAACAAACAAACATTTGAACAATTTAGTTTAACAAAAGGTTTAAACCTAGGATGAATACCATTAAAATCAGAAAAAGTACCACTAAACAAGAAAAATATATGCACATTTATTTATCCTTATTCAGTCACCATTGTCTATATTATGCAATACTAGTAAAATTTAGATAAAGATTTATTTTGTTCTTCTTCACAGGAAGATCCTCAGTTATGAATTAGATTCACTTGAGAAACCAAATGTACTTCAATAAATGTTCAGCCCCCTCAAACTGTGAACATGGGAAAATGGGACAAACGGCACAAGCCAAAACGACAAGAGGAAGTCCACACCTAAGTGAGAAGTGTGGCCTCGGCTGGTGTTAAACTCTCAACACACTGAGGGGAAGCAAATGACCAGCGTGAAACAGCACAGGTCTCATTTTAATGCAAATCCACTACTCTAGTCTTAATATAATAGAATAAAAATGACAGAGATGGTGAAGAGACAGAATGCTGCAGTGCTGCTGTGAAATTGAGCAATTTGCTTATATTTATTATGTGCTATGTGGTTCGTTTTTCCTCAGACAAGTAGAAAATGTCTGTCATAAACTTTTTTTTAATCTGTCATTGTGTTTTTCCATTCATGTTGTTGTTTGCAAGGATAACATAAAGTTAACCCAAATGTAATCAATGCTTAAGTTAAAAACTCAAGTTCTAAGTATGCTGAATATTTACAAGCCCAAAAAGACATGAAATCGATATTTTCAAAGAGAAAAATAATTAACTAATGCCAAGTATATGCTGTAGGCCTACTGGAACTTTATTTTCTATAGCCCGTACCAGGTTAACCATGTACTCTCCTCTGAATACAGGTTTCCTTTATTTGGACATTATACTGGAAGACCAAATGAACCCTTTGAATTCATGTACTCTTCGATTTCCTGTATGTGAAACTGAATTTGTAGCTAACGACATAAAGAACACTCATGGAGACAAACATTGAATTCATTTTTCCATTTTATTACAGAAAGTTATAAATACATACAAATATAATACTATTCACACTGTACATATTGCATTGGTGACAGATTTCATGTTCTGCCATTACAGACTGTGTCCATTAGGGGGCATTATTCAGTCTCTACCAGGGCCTCCATACAGAGGCCGAGCTGGAGCAGGCCCCCCGCGGAGGAGGCTGCAGGGGTAGGTACACTCCTGGGGTAGGTGTGAACGGGACAGGTGCCGGAAGTGTGGACAAACTGCTGTTACAAGATGGAGGTGTCGGAGGGAACGTAAAATGGCACGCGTATGTGACAAAGGGGGGCGACGTCGAGTAACCTGACAATGGCGATAACCATGGCGACAGTGGCGGGGAGAGGTAGTCATGGAGCGGGGTGGAGCAGTGAGGAGAGTGGTTGAATGAATGTGACAGAAATGGGAACTTCAGTGAGTCTTCTTTCTTGTCCGATGAGGAGTAGCTAGAGTCTAAAGACGAGGGCACGTGGCCAAGTCGTTGCTCTAGTTCGTGGTTCAAAGACGGCGGGTGCGTGTCTGTGTGGCGCTTCAGTCCCTCGATGAGACTGCTTCTCTGCGCTGGCGTGATTTTGTGTATGTAGCTCGTTAACTCAGCCATGCACTGTTTGAAACCAGCGGTCTCCATTGTGAACACAGAAGAAGGCTCTAGACGAGGGGGTGACACTGGAGTATGTCTTATTTGAACAGCATCTGAAAATGTGGAAAATACAATTAAGAAAATATCACATATATAAGATAATTTTCCACTGCTTTACAAAATACTATTAAAGGTGCACTATAACTCTTTGACTGGGCGTCCATCACCTGCTTGTTTCAATGGAGATATCATTGCTCTGCCTGGAACAGCTCTACTTTACAGTTACAATTCGTTTTATAGCTCAAAAATACTGACAAAAACATATATTCTGACTGTAAGTGGGGTTGCTCGCCACAGACCTGACCTGTAACCTGATCTGGTTTGGTCTCCATGATGATAAAAAGATTTAATACCACACTGTGAAACATTCCAAACAAAGCAATAATATCTCCATGGAGAAAAACATTTGACGGACCCGCTAACAGAAAAGTTACACAACGTACCTTTACTTCAATAGCTATACATTTTTATTTGAACTTACCATTCGCCCCACTGGTCCACTTGTGCAGGTACTCAACAGCAAGGTCCAAAATCTCTGCTTTTTCTATTTTCGGATTTTGCAGCCTCTGAAAATACAGAAACAAAATACGCTTAATATATTAAATATTGTACAACAAAAAGTCTATGTAATTTGTGTGTGGTCTTTATAATAATTTGGAGCACTCCATTTGGCTACTTTGAAAATTGGGGTACCATAAAAAAGAGACCTTCCTCCTTTTTATGGTAACCAAAGGAAGAGGAAGCGTTGTGTTAACTAGGAGAGCGGACTGAGAGTACATGTGGAGGTGTCAAAAGTGTTGCTAGTCAAAACAAATGGTGTGATTTTTTGTATACTTACAGGATCAGATGTTGAGTTCAAAAGAAGACTCCTCAATTCAGCCAGGCTATGGTTGATCCGATCTCTCCTTTTCTTTTCCACCACTGGTTTTAGTATCTACGAGCAAAACGACGTACAAAATTGATCAGTTTACGTGCAATGTTGAAGTTGATGTCACAAAATGGACTTTCACTATGAAAAAATAATATGAAATTGTGTACTGTCAAAGAAGCTTACAATTTCCAAAACAGATCCACAACTCAGTAGCATGAATAGTACATTTTAAAGAGGAAAACTGGCTAAAGAGTAAACAAAATGGAAGCTCACAAGGTTGAATTTTACATTTTGAAGTACAGCATAAGAACGTTATGATGATTAAGAAGACGTATTAGAGAGAAGAAATATTAAAATTTAAGTCTTACCCTCTTTCTGCTCCGGTTCCCATCTTGGGGTGAGTTGGGCAGCGTCTTGGTCATCGTTTCAGGCTCGTTCCTCTCTTTTCAGGCTCTTTTCTCCACAGTATCCAAACAGAATAATCCTAGAGGCTCGTGCGCACGGTTTAAATAGGCCTCGCGTTCCTTCTTGTTGGCCACGCGCTGCTTCTGATTGGCCGACAGGTGCGACCAACAACACCTCACGTCAAAATGTACAACCCATTACACCTCTACTCTCTTTGGCCACTTTACCTCTCCAAGTTCGGTATTAATGTTTTGTTTCTATTAAAATATTTGTAAAAGCTGCATTTTAAAACTTTTATAATTATTTGTTCATAAAGAGACATGAAATGGGATCTTATTATACTGGCATTATAACTAATCATAATGTAATTATTACTAGTTCTAAAATATGGAAAACAAAAATCTGCTTTTCCAGAAGTTTCCAGAACGGGCAATTCAAGAAAAAATAAATAAAAAAAGTTTTATGAAACATGACTGTGGTTACCTACTATTTATTTTATACTTTGTTGACGAACACTAGACACGTGGCTAAAGGCATGTGGACCAAAACGATTCAAAACATTGTGCAAAAATGTATAGATTTGCACATAAAAGTGGCAATAATACATCCATAGCAGTAACTAAGAAACTACAAATTTATTGGTTATTAATATATATTCTTTTCATTTTTAGATCGAATAATTGATACTGGTTGTCACTGAAAAAGTTAATTAGCAAAACTAGCTTGTTGGGCAGAAACATGCTAATATGCTAGCAACTTGCCCAAATAACAAATGTATAAGTTCCAGACTGTATTATTAATTTATCCGATGTGTGAACTTTCCCATAGGTCCCCCATGAGCTGAACTGTGGGAAAGTTGGAGTGTGTCCCGTGGGAACAGAAATTTAAGTGTCAAATCGAGCAGGTTTTTATGATGTGTAAGAGATAGCACTTAGCATCAAGTGTAGAGAATGACCAAATGAGCCAATAATCCCGTACAAGTTGTTTTTTACTATATATTTAAATCTTACCTTAATTAATGAACCTTGAAAACGAAGCTGTGCTCTTTTGTCCAAAAGCTATAACAGCGGTGACAAATAGGCTGATTACTACTATAATGTGAGAGGCTAATACGGAAAAAAGTGTAATCCAAAATAAACTGCCAAAATAAAAGCACCCTAGCAGCTACATCCGTGGTGTAACTGTTAAATATCTTTTACAGTAACTTAATGACAAGTTATTCAGTCTCAATCTGACTGTTTAAAATTACAATGGTACTACAATGCAAACAGTTTTATGCCAATATGCACATTTTTGTGTCAATAAATGTAGAATCTTAATTTTCCGCAATGGTTAGCGCCTGTACTTAGTTTCCCAATTCATAATTTGTACATTTAAAGGCGTGGGAAATGAACCAAAGTGTGTTTTAGCAGCTAAGTGTGACTTGTGAATATTAAATTGAGGTAGAGGAGCTGTTACTGATCCCACGGTCTGAAGGTCTCACTCGTGCGTCATGAGGCACGAGCGAACATGGGAACCACGGGCCAAACGGCACAAGCCCTAGTTTGTTTAGCACCAGTCGAGGTGTGGGGCAGACTTTTAGACCTGAGTGCCAAGTGTGTCTACGTCCTCGGGTCAACCTCGCTCCGCAATATCAGGTGTTTGCTTCGTGTCTCATCTACGCCCTCGTCCTTTTATTAATTTAGGTTTCTGGATTATACACTTCAGAGAACACGATATTGGCAAGAGACGGTCCATTTCACTATCACCAAAGAGTAGCTTTGGGGGCAGCTCCCATCTAATTAGATTCTATCACAGCCTCAAAGGGACACGCTATGGGGTGGGGCCACGTGGCCAAGTACTGTGCGCTTTTACGCACGAACATCTGTTTATTTTCCAGAATCTAAAACATAAATAAATGCATGGAAAGTAATAGCTTGAACACTTAGTGAAATCTAAACAGGTCTACTGGTTAAGAAATGTAAGATTTAAAAAAAACAAAACAGCACGGTTGTATTCATTCATTAATTTCTTGCTAGAAATGATTAATGAGATTTTTATATTAATTAAAAAATTCTGTTATTGGGAATCAATAAATTTGGGAGTCATTGTAAGCAGTTATTATTTTCTAAAAATCTGTTACCGTACGGTGCAGCCTGCCTGACTGTGATGTTCTAGTGTGATGTCGTGTGATTGCGTATCAGAATTATATTGTTCCGTTAATTCGATGTAAATTCACTGTCTAGGGAACAGATGAACTCTTTTGTACGAGTTTATGGCCCTGCGCAGTACCAGTTTAGACCTGGTTTGGTCTTGCTTTTGGACCTAGTTTAGTAGCTCTAAATATACAGTCCCTGAGTAGCTTATTGCAAAAATAACTTATTATTTTTATGTATTAAACTAATTTAATATCACAATTGATTCATTAAGTTAATTAAAATAAAAAGGAAATAATCGATTCTGTCCTCTAATTAACAGAATGGACCAAACCAATATATTTTAATGTAAAAATAAAAATGTTACGACCTTCCACTGTTTGGGAGACCACCAGCCACCACAGCAAAGAATAACAATGACATGGTAAATCCAGGATTACATCTGGACTGAAATACTAAGATTACAAATAAGCAATAATAAAACAGCCCAGATGATGAAGTTTATATGGGGAAGGGATTCTCTGATGTGTTGTCCTTGTGATTTTGTTTGTCTTGGCAGTGGAGATTTGGAGCTTGGCTGACCCATGGTTGGCCTTACTTCGTCACCTCTGGAAGGGTCTGCCCAATAAAATAATAACATTAAAAGGTTAGAAAAAGGTTGTATTTAGATAAGAGGTGGATCTGTTCGTGTAATGTTACTTGTAGATTATTATTATTTTATTTGTTATAGGTCTTTGTTTGTTTTCCAAATTATGGCCAACATATTTGTCTCAAGGATAATTTCACAATGACCTTCTTTTTGAAGAAAAAAATTAATACATTTTGTGTTTTCTGGGTAAAACAATTAATGTTCTTTATTTCTCACAATACCACTTAGCATGCATAAAAACAGAACAGACAATATAGGTTAGGCTAATTACATTTTTTAATATTTAATTTAAGGATCTGTCTATTTCAAACACCCAGACTGGTCCATCATATTTTTGTACTAAAAAGTCTTAAATGCACAGTTCACACCTTGAGCAATTACAAGTGTGAATGGCTTGTGCTTCGATAGGCGCGCACCCACACCTTATGCTCCTCTCTCCTTATAGTGACAGTCCGATCTCTAACCATGAATGCAACCTGCTACAATGCGTTGCTTTCATTTCAGAGATTAAAGTTTAAGTAGGGTCCGCTACCTTGAGGTTTTGTCGTCCCTTTCTCTCCACTGCATTTATGGCGGGCCTGATCCCGATAATGGGCTAAAGAGCGCAGATAACACCGGGATGATCCTATCAGAGCAATGCAACAGGGAGCTTAAGAGGCCTTTCACATCGATAATACTTCCGTTTAAAATCAAAGAGAGGGCGATTAGCGTGGCCTTTGAGACGCACAGTAGACACCATGGCAACGACGCACAGCCCCGGCGCATCGGGGGCGCACCATTGTAGAGCGTGAAGTCATGGAAAAAAATAAATTAAAAATAAAAACAAAAACTTTGTCTTCACTAAAACAACTTCTACAGTGATAAGCAGGGAAATTACTTCATCAAATAACTAAATCACCATATCCAAACTTGAAGCGAAGTCTTGCTCTGTGCACATGGGCCTACATTTCTGAGAGGTGAAAATGAGCACCACATAGAAACAGTTCATATAGCTCAGATGATTCTCCTCTTATTAACACGTTACACTATTAGAATGTGTTATTAAAATAACAATTGCTTAAATTGGCTATATGTTATAGTGCTCTTTATAGTGCGTAGAAAGTATTAAAGCACCACGCATCTGGCCTAATTGTTTTTAATGTAATGTAAACGTAGGAGTAGTAGGACAGACTTTCAAGTAAAACAAGAAGGCCAATACTATAATTATCAATAGTATGAGTACCCATTTTATCAGTAAACACAACAAAATTTTGTAAAAGTAATTTTGGTAAAAGCTTGTGCACAATCCGATGGATGAGAAGGCTGATGTCAAGGGCGATTACAGATGTAACTAAATTAGTTCAAAAGAAATATTTTTGGGCCAGTTTGGGACAACATCTTGACACAATGCCTGTACTATGCATATTAATTCTCCTTTCTGTGAGTAGGTGGGTGGAGAGAGGGGAGTGGACCCATTCACAGTTATTTGATGGCCATGCGCGACTGGAGAGATGACTGAATGCACGAGGGCGTGTTGTGGGGGCGTGGCTTTGGAGCTACGCAGTTATAACGCGGAAGGTAAACACGTGCCGTACACAGTTCAATTTTACTTTAACAAAGAATATTTTCATCATGAGAGCTGTAACGCTAGAAACCCAGGCAAAGAGGACTTCCAGGAGGGTAAGGTCCAGACAAGATATGACAATTTAACTTTACGCTGCACTAATTTCAAGACACTAAATTTCTTGCATTGCTTTTCTAGTCCAAGATTGCCAAACCTGTTGTTGAGAAACGCAGGCGGGAGAGGATCAACCATAGTCTAGAGACATTACGGCTTCTTCTTCTGGAAAACATGGATGATGAGGTGAGTTAACCGCTTGCTCAACTGTTGTTTATCAATGTCCATCTGTCGATTTCAGTGCGTAACTGTGCTTGTGTTTTTATCGTTTAGAAGCTGAAAAATCCCAAAGTGGAAAAGGCTGAAATTTTAGAGAGCGTGGTTCACTTCTTGCAAGCTGAAATTCAGATGAAGAAGGCTCCTCGTTTTGGAAAGAAGCTTCATTTTGAGGAGGAGGCGAGACAACAGAACTACGAGGATGGCATGAGGTCCTGTCTGCGCAGAGTCAGCAGCTTCATAGCTCACAAATCACAGGATTCTGAGCGCCAAAGTCCATTGGATTTCTCCCCGATGTACGCCTCCTCCCCCGGTCACCTCTCGCCCCCGGGACATCTGTCTGTTCCGGGACAGTCCCCCTCGGGCCAATTCGGGAGGGCGCTTACATCCTCTCCATCTCTCTCTCCTCCACTGGTCCAGACGCCGATGCACTACCCGATCCACTCACAGACCGCTGCTCGGCACTGTGGTTTGACGCCACAAAAGCTCAACAGCGACACAGTGTGGAGGCCGTGGCCCCAGTAAAACACTTGAACTTAAAAAAAGTCTATTTTTATACGCTGCCTTTGTACATTTGTAAATATGTAAACATTGTACAGAAATTGTACTTTTGTACAGAACAGAAGCTCTAGGGGTTTTTTTTTTTAGATGAAAGGTGCACCTTCCTAATTTGTGTCTGTACTTTTTTGCTGCTGAGAACACAAATTGAAGTGTGCGTGAATGATTTCAATGAAATACATTTGTGTTTTTTACCTTGTGAAAATGTTTCCTTACGTGTTGATCATGAGTTTTGCAAAGCCTCTTGATGAGCAACCTTGTTGTCTGGTACAATAAAAGTACTTCTCTGCTCTTTCATCAGAAAGTGGCCTCTTTGACTACAGTTATTGAAGTACAGCCCTTTGGTCTAAAAGGAGGTCGTTAACACGTGCTTGGACGCATCAAAGCAGTGTATAAATGTGATAATTGCTGCGTAATGAGCACTAGATGACCTTCTCCAAAACGTGTGAGAACACACCTTATAGTCAATAATATCCTTATAGGCATGAGTTTTCATGAAGGTAAACAAGTAAAACTAATGTTCAATCTGAAACTAAATCACAACCTCAAATAAATCTTTTACGCACGAATGTGCCAAATTTCGCACGAGACTCGGGTTTTTTTTATACTTAAAGATATTCTGGGTGGGGAACATAAAAACAAATCTTTGTCTAACGATAAATGACTTGTTTCTGAACAGTGAAGCTTTGTAATTCAGCCATTATAAAATTTTGTAAAACAAACTTTGTAATTCAAGATTACAAAATTGAGCAAAAAAAATTACGTTAATCTACATTACTGCGCAAAGCAGTTGTAGCATTACAGTACAGCTGTGCACTTGGTAATTTTCCAGACAAACTTTGCCGTTGTTTTGCTTTTCTTCTTTGTAGATTGGAACTGTCTCGCTCTGTACAACTTGTTAATGGCCGCTCTCAGTCACTTGTGCATTTCAAAAGAGGCGATTGATTGTCCAACCTCAGCGATGAATCAATCTTATCCGACCTCAGTACGCGTTAATGGCGAGTACATGGCTACCCAATCTTGGTACATACCAAAACAACTCCACAGACGATTTTGTGCAATTTTGTTGGCAAAAACTAACCAAAACCTATCCACTCGTATTTCCATCGTGTTTCCCACAGTCAGTTCGGTGGCGGTGATAAGACCCACGCCATTTAGGCCAAGCAAACCCCGTTCAAACGCGGGTTATGAATTAAGGAATTAGTCTCGCTGTCGCTTAAGACACGAATCCCTTTTGTGATTCTTTAAGACGAAAACCTTTCGGAGAAACACCCCGGAACTAAGTAAATCAATTAAGCACAATGAGATTAGAACTTGGTTTAATTAAACGGGCCAAATATGGCTCGAGTTGCATTGTCGTGTCTTTACGGTGCCTGGGATTACTATGGGATACGGATGTTTCTGCTTAGGACCAGTTTGTTTGACTTAGACAATACCCAATGTGGAAGTGATTTGCGTAAATGGGGTATATGACCATGGAAACCAGAATGACCAGCAAAAGGTCAAGATGTTGCGAAATGTTCATTTTACGTAATTTAATATTATGGATACCGATAGGCTATAACTGTTAAAGGCCAATCTTTTGCCCACGAATGCCAAGAGGAAATGTTTCCCACATTTGTGAACACAGATCCAACGCATCAGACGTGGATATGGAAGATATTTTCCACTTGGCCGCCCTAAGTTTGACCTCAGTTTATTAACAGATTATTTGAAAAATGTGCTGTGGTCTGGAACAGCCCAGTTGGCCACGTGTCGATACCGTTCCCAGCCCGTGTTCCTCACCTATAAAGTGCGAGTACCGACACCAACACCCACGCGCCAAAGAGGGCACCGGCTCGTGCGCAAACAGCTGGGTACGTGCTTTGTTTTTACGCACTTAAATTGTGTCATCTTAAACACGTTTCAAAATGCCACATAACTCAGCAGGTCATGTTGTTTTGAAGCAATTGTCATCACTGGTTTGCTCTAGTCGCTTGAACAAGGGCAGTTTTTAATATGTTCAAAATAAAATATTTTGTGTTCAGGTAGATCAATAAAGCTGATAAACATCAAATCTGTAAACACGTTTGGATACATATTTACACACTCCTTTCATTGCTAATACTAAGATTTGTGTTTATAATATGACTTTTGTTTATATTATGATTATTATTTCAGATTCTTTCAGTGATCTTTACTGGGAGTATATTACATGAGGAACTGTCTAATACAAAGCAATCCAGAATCTCTTGGTCCAGACAAAGAATAGTCCATTGAGCATTTGGGATAAGTGGGATGGGACCACTGCACCACTTGCCAAAACAACTTTATGGAAAAAATTACCAGATGTTTGATCACATTTTTCCGCTTGCAATAGAACCAAAAATAGTCAGTATTTTATGTTACAGATAAAATGCCTTTCGCCTCATACATGTATAGTTTTGATGCCTTTAAAGAGATTAAAACATAATTGGATGAAGCTGCCTTTATTCCATGCAGTGCTTTAATGTAGCCTTTCAACTGGTCATTCACTTCTGCATCATTGTGAAGGTCCTGTTTTAACTCATTGAAGCAGTTTTAATCCTCATCTGGTGGTAAAATGCAGTGTTGATGTTTACATAAATTAGTCTTTTTAAACAAAGCTCCACCACTGAGCTGTTCTCTCTCTGCATTTGTGAAGGAGGGTCAGCAGCTGCTCTGGTGGTCACAGCCACCTCTGCAATTACAATCAATGCTACACTGAGTGCAAGTTAATTTTACTAGTACGTAACTACTACTGTAATTGCATGCAATAAATTAATAATTGGATTGAAAACAATAACAATCAGTATTTGATGAAAAAGAAATTGTATTAACAACAAATAAAGACATATGGTACAAGTGGTCTGTTGTGTGGAGTTTTGAACAGTTACTTAAACTCGCCTATAATGAGTAGTCTACTGTTTTTGATTGAAGGGGTAAAATTACAAGATTAACATTTGCGCAAATAACTACGCAAATACAGAGATCTTTGTAAATACCCCAACAGTCCTTTGTTTTCTGATTTGACCTCTGGTTTTCATATTTGAGGTGAAAACTGAATACTCATACATACTAGCTGTAACCTGTACTTAAAAAAAATCTTTAGTGCCTTATATGAGAACATGTATGTAATGTGTTTGTGTGGTGCGTTCATGGTTCTAGATCTGGCAAAGCATGAACTAACTCGTTCATGCTTTGCCCCCAGCAAGGCCCTGTGCTTTCTGGAACTCTTGCTGTAAACTGGACAGAACCTCTCTGTGCTGGTCAGACTTCTTCTCCATTTCCTTCAGCAGTGCGTCGTACCTTTGACTGAAGCAAAACCACAAAACAGAGAGTTAACGTTTTATTAAGAATAGAATATTACAAGCCTTATTGAAATATTTAATTTTATTCACATATGTAATCTTAATAAAGTGCAATATGATACATTTGCAGAGCACTCTACAATATTGGACATACTATGTAGTACAGTAGTAGTGTTCAATTGAGGTGAATGCAGATCATTAATTTTGTTAATTTGTAGATTTCTAAGTGTGTTTGGGGATTGGGATGAAACTTCTCATAAAATCTTGAAAAACACAATATAATAGGGAATTTGTCCATCTGTAGGTCAGAGGATCTCAGACGTTTTGTCTCTCTGAAAGACACTTCATCCACTTTGCCTGGTATACATGTGGTGTGTGAGTGACTTATTGGTGCTGGACCGAGGGGCCTATGGCACAGAATGGCAGCCTTGCTTCTATTAGATTACCCTGCAGCAGTTTTGGCTACAGAAGTATCTTATTACAGAGCATGGACTGAATGAATAAAGTTTAGTACAGTTTAGTGCTTTGAGAGGCTAAGCCTGGATAGCACATTTCAAGTGTGAAGCACTATCAATATTAGTTTATACTTATACTTACGTCTCTCCATTGATATACTCCAGTCTTTTTGCGACTGTGGCCTTGGCTTCATCCAGATCTTGCTTAACTAAAACTGGACCAATCAGTTTATAAACGGTGTTAGCACTGTCCAACATGTCCAGCTCCTGTAAACAACAAATATATATTCATTAGTAAATAAAGACAGACACTGGCAGCATTTAATAGCTAATAAAGACACAAAAGGAGGAGGATAATCAGTTATATACCAAAGACACTGACCACATGTATCTAGTTTTAATTCCACATTCACCTAATACAAATAACATTACTTACCTCTTTGACAAAGTTGTTTTCTGCCAATTGCGTCTCCAGTTTCTGTCTTGCGGACACGCTTTTGCTGACATCTTTACAACAGACAAATACACATTAATTTCATTACACTTTTATTAGTTTAATGTGTATATAAAATACCAATATATGAAATAGACAGCTTGCTTTCCTTATATGGTCAGTAGCTGCTAATGTATCTTTATGAAGCCAATGCTAACACATACCTTTCTGCATCTGTGCGTATTTTTCTACTTCAGCTTTTAGTTTCTTTTGAATCGCTTCTGCCATATTTATAATTAATACTATTTTATAACGACGAGATGAGCGATATAAGGAGATAAAAGGCAGATATATTGTTAGAAAGGCAGTTCAGCACACCACATGAAAGATCCCTGGGTGGGCCAGCAGACCGGATATGGCAACGGCGTTTCCGTTTCTTTCAAAATAAGAGAGATAATATTTTTACTTTTGCGATAAATTGAATAAAACAGAACATTTGTTATAAATGACAAAACATATAAACATGATAATAACTTTATATCTATTGACACACAAGCCACCCTACGATATTCACAGGTTTTGACAATTAAAATAAAATATAGTATTATTTTGTGGTGCCATGATGCTCTCGCCTTGGTTCAAGATGGCGTCGTCGTTTTGGAAAGGTGTTGTCGGAGTCGGTCTTTTTGCTTTAGCTCATGCGGCTTTTTCAGCAGCACAACGTGAGTCAAAACGCACATAACAGCAGTGTAAATGTTGGTGCATATGCGTGTAAAATTTGTGGCATGAAGACGAGGTAAAATTTGGTAGAAGTCCGCTCGGGCCTTGGCAGAGGGCTAACCGAGGCTAGCGCAGTTTAGCATTGATAATATCCGGCTTTTGAAAAGGTTTAATTTAGCCTGTTCAGCTGTCATTTAAAAAGACTTGGGACATTTACCTTTAAATCATACCTTTTCTCTAATGGTATTTCCGGCAGAAATCTTTTAAAAGTGTATCTGAACAGTTTGGACCTTTTCCCATGTATTTTGTGACCTATGCATTTAAATTACTGTCTCAAACATCTATGCAGACATTTGGCATGTTATAAAATTATTTTCCATCAGCTCGGAGATTTTGTGTTGCCTGTCATTTCTTATTTGGGTCATATTTTGTGCACTGTGTATGACGGGAAATTGCTACTTTGACTCCGTCTATTTAACAAAACATAAGATTGACTAGACGTTATATTTAAATATTGAAGACGATTTCATGTGTAAATTACCTGTTTTATAATCAAGCACAAAGGCCTTATCTCTTTTTAAATGTTAATCAAACTAGTTATTTTGTGTATGCTGTACATTTTGAGCCAGAATATTACAAATTTCTATACTTGTTGTTGTGTATTCATTATGTTGTGGAGTAGCCATTATGATGCCTACTAGTTGCCTACCATATTAAAAAAAATAAAATAAAATAAAATACAAAGTAAAATTCTGTGGTCACATGACATTTGGAAAATAGTTCTAACCCCCTCCACAGCCCTCTCATCCAAAGGGGAAGTTTGCAAGGGACTCATCCCTGAGCTGTGTTCTCAGGAGCACCTTGAATTCACCCATTGTTCCAAAATGAGAGGCAGTCAGGTGGATTCAACACATTGAGTGTTGAATTTAAGCTGGTTTATGTCCCTTGCCTAATATTAAATCAATCCTGTTTTTGTTTCTTCCCCAGATCGATCGTACATGCGTCTCACAGAGAAAGAAAATGAAACACTACCAATAGACGTGAGTATTTAGACTCTTGTTTTATACACATATTTGACATTGTTAAGATTAGTTTTAATTTAACTCTGTTTTTGCAGATTGTATTACAGACATTATTAGCCTTTGTCATGACCTGTTATGGTATTGTCCACATTGCTGGAGAGTTCAAAGACATGGATGCCTCCTCAGAGCTGAAAAACAAGTAAGCTTAACTGTAATGACTCTTAAGGAACACGTATTATGCTTTAATGTGGTCTAAAGTTATAATATGACACACAGATCATTATTAGATATTTTTTATTGAAATTGCAATATTGATAAAAAATGATTAACTACATGAAACTAGTGTACTGATTTCCAATTGAAAATAACAGACCATAAGGTAAATTTGCATGTTTCCTTTTAATGACTGTGGTATTGGTGGTGCTATTACGGAGACTAGTTGCCTGCACATTTAGTGCAGAGTTCACTATAAATACCCCTATTCCTCAAAGTAAATCATTGTCTCTTCCTCTGAGATACCGATGTTGCAGAGTACCACAAGGAGATAGACCAATGACATTGTTAAGCTTTGACTTAAGATATAATATTTAAGATCAATGGTGAACTTTAACTTTCTGTTGGATGGTCCTGCTTGTCTTCATAGTAGCTGTTTTCCTGGAAGGTTCAACATTCACAGTATGCATGTAGAACAAATGCAAGATATATAGTTTAGTTTTTAATGCCGTACTGTCAGCAGAGCATTCCAGGCAATTACATCTTCAAGCAGATAAGCATGTGTCATATCCTCTACCAGAAAAGTTACATGGTACCCTCATTCACTTATTGAATTGGGGCATTAAAATTATCTAAGAATAATAATTTATTGGGGTTTAAGTTTATAATACAAGTACAAGATTTTTCTCTAAAAATTCTAGATTATTTGTTCTCTACAGAGGACATTGTTATCTAAATTTCAGCCTTTGCAATTAAACAATTGCCCCAACAAATTGTTTTTTGATTTATTTAATTGTCTGCTTCTGCTCATTTTCAGTTATTGGATTTGTGTGTGTGTGCGCGCGTGTGTGTGTGTATGTGTATGTGTATGTGTATGTATTTAAAGTGCCACCACAACAGTGCACAAATTAAGTAAACAATAAATATGAAATGGGGGAAAATGTAGACCAGAGAGTTCGCCAACTGCTTTTCTTCATGGAGATGTTATTGCTTTGTCTGGAATGTTTCACAGTATGGCAATAAACCTTTCTATCATCATGGAGACCATACCATACCAAGTTACAGGTCAGATTTGTGGAGAGGCAACCCGATCACAGTCAGCATGCCTGTTTTTATCGGTATTTTTGAGCTATAAAACCACCTGTAATTGAATACATTACAGCAGATCTATTTAATGTCATACTTTGGAACATTCCAGGCAGAGAAATGACATATCCATAGAAACATGCATGTGACAGACCCTCCACCAGAAATGTTACACAGTGCACCTTCAACTATTTAACTTCTTTCCAGAGCCTTTCTCAATCTCTAAATTTTGAGCCAGTATAAATTCTCAATCTTTTTTTTTTTCACAGAACATTTGACACGTTGACGAACCACCCTTCGTTTTACCTTTTCAACCACAGAGGGCGAGTGCTGTTCAAATCACAGGATGAGGTTCCATCTGAACGCAACCAGCAAGCCCTCCCCAACCCCATACGACTACGCAAGCTCGAGCATTTGCACTGAGACTGAACCTATATCTGCCTGTAACCTCATCCATGTTTAGAGAAACCATTTTGTTAGACACTGAAAAATATGTTAATTTAATTTGTACATAAAACTGATTTGAAATGATGGCTACACTTTGACCACTCTTTACCACTGACTGACTGTGCCAACCCTTAAGTTTTTCAGCAACTTTGTAAATACAAGTGTATTGCTTGGAGTCTTAAAAGTATAGAAACAGTGCCCCCTACTGTCTTTTTCAGCTGATTCGCGACAATGTTCGTAAAAGGGGGCTGAGAGGCCTGTTTATTACTGTTTAAATTTCATAAGTCTGCTTAAAAAGTTATTTCAATTCGGGTTTTGTTATTATGAAATGAAAGCTGCAATGTTTTGGTCTCTTGGGCCCTGTATATTGAAACTGGAGTTTGCTTGATTACTGTATTTCTGTGTCTTGAATGTTTTTACTTGCAACCATAGTAGATCTATAGAAAAGATATGCTGAACAGATACAAATTGAGCCTTAACAAACCATTAGTGACAAGTAGTTTTTAATTAGGAATTGCGTGTAAGCTTAATCAAAATTATCTTCTTTCTCACATTCTTCATAAATCCTTACCACGCAACTTTTAAGTATATCCCAAAATGCGAAAGATGTAGAAAATTAGAAAATAATTAGATACAATTTCTAACTTAAAATCATTAATATCTAGTCATTGTAAAACGAATTGGCTTGTCTTCAGACTGAAACGGTAACTATTTTTTTGACTGGGTAACTAATTTGAATGCGTTTATTGAATACGTCAATCATTGTTGCTACAAAAAATACGCTTGAATATTGTTAAGTAAATCTATTTCAGTACAACTATATGTTATTCCACCTGGTGTTTCCTCTCCTGTGTGTTTGCGGTTGTGTTGTGGCGGTACAGGGCCCTAGATGTCCAGTTTGCAATAAAAGGTTTTGGAGATGTTTTTGATGGACTGTTATGACTGAGCTAACCATGCTAACCGTGCTAATGATACTGTGAAGAGCTAAAGTAGAGGGAAAGGTACATTCATTTGGGGAAAGGGGTTGTTCTTGTTTTTTTGTTATTAAGGCTTTTAATTTAATAAAAAGCATTTTGATTTTACAAGATTGCACCTGTTTTCTTTTACATTTGTGCGATCACTGGGGGTAATTTGCCAGTTGTCTATTTACGTGAAAACATCAAATTAAGATTATAGATTATAATATTAAAATCCTTCGTACTGTACATTTCAGGGAACATAATCATATATTCTTTGCACTTATCTGTCATAGGTTCGTGAATAAAAATAGAAGAATTTTGCATGTGCCCAAAGCCAAAATTAACCCGGATTTGCATTTAGGCCTAGGTATTTTAATGAGTGGTTGAGTTCTTAATTCGTCTTTCATTTTGGGGAGAAAGATATTATCGTTCGTCTTGACTGCAGTTGCGCTTTTTAACCACAAGATGTCTCCAGTCTTCATACGTCAGCCAAGTTGAATGTCTTGGTTATGATCACTAAAACTATTGTATCTTTAGAAGGAGCAAGTCACCCAAACACGTCTGTCATTTTTCAGTTTTATTACAAAACATATTCTCATAAAACTTCCAACTTTTACACATGTAACATTTTACAAAAGTGTCATTTATATTTTACTCTCAAAATATTCCATAGTCTCTGGATTGACAAAAATGATCTATTTTTCCATTTGAACATGAAAAAGTTGTGTACATCAGTTGTAAAAATGCCTGGGTTTATGAGAAATGTTGCAGAGACTAAAACAGCAGTGGACTGGACTGAGATAAGGATCATTTTTGGAGTGTTCGGGAGATTTTATTTTACGATATTAAATAAGAACACTGGTCCATAGACAATTTTGATTAATAATAGAGATCAACTGATGCCTATGTAGATTTAGTAAGTGCTGAAGTAATATCTAAACTGATTTAAAGGTGTATTTTATTGACCCTACAAAGTGAAAAGTTGGGAGCAGTCATCAGTAACCAGGACAGAAGTTAGAAGTACCTAACCATCTGAAAGTATTGTACTTGAAATGCATTATGTAACTTTGCTGGTAGAGGGTCCATGGAGAGGATATTATAAGATAAGAGAATTTTTACTTGTGCCACAGTGGTGAGATTCCAGACAGTGAGGAAATTGTAACCTGGGATGTTCCACATTATGGCATTAAATGTAGGCTATCCAGGTTCTAAAATGTATTTAACTTACTTCATTATGGGTGGTTTTATTGCTCGAATCTACCTTGGAAAAACACACCTCTCCATATATCTGACCTATAACTTGATCTGGTTACACCTGCTGATCTCCATGGAAAGGGATATATTTAATGCGATACTATGGAACATTCCAGGCGAACCAATAAAAATTTCCATGGAGACAAGCAGGCGGCGCTCCCTCAATCAGAAAAGTTGCATACTGTGCCTTTAACAAACTGTTTCTATTGTAGACTTGTATACAGTATGTCTCTGGGGAGGAGGCCCCAGGGAACACTCAGGAAACATTTGAAGGACTATGTCTCTCAGCTGGCCTGGGAACGCCTTGGGGCCCCCCCAGAAGAGCTTGAGGAAATGTCTGGGGTGAGGGAGGTCTTGGAGTCCCTGCTTCGACTGCTGTCTCTACGACCTGGCCCCCCGATAAGCAGAAGAAAATGGATGGGCTTGTATATATGTGGCCGGTAACGAATGGGAGAGCATAGATTTGTTGTGGTATTGTGGCATACAAAAACCAAGGGGGGAAGCCCAAAGAGGAAAACTGTTTTAAAAATCAGAATCTTGTAAGGAAGATGCATCGGTGTATCCCTATTGGCATTTAAAAATATTATTCAATTATTTGCGAATGAGTTAGACCACTAACTTTTCTCAGACCGGCTGAAGAATGGCCCGTTTTAAAATAAATACAAAATCTTCTACCATTTAAAATATTTTTCACTCTTTTAACCCGGAGTACCAGAGCTGCTGTTGTTTTTAACCAAACTGGAGTGTATCTTTCAGAAAATCAGACAAAGCCATTGAGATGCTTAAGGCGTGTTGATACAGTCGATGGTTGATATGAAGAGTTCTGGGAATCTAAAGAGCACAAGTGGCATTTGGGGTAATTTGAGATAAACCAATAAACTATTATGAAATGAAAGCTACTTTTCAGGTGAGCTGCTGGTCAAAAACAGACCCTAGATTTAAAGGAAAATGTATGTAACTTTTCTAGTGGGGTTCCGATTACTTCCTGGTCTCCATGGAGATGATATTGCTTTACCTGGAATGTTCCACAATATGATATTAAACTTATTGGGATATTCAATAACAGGTGCTTTTATTGCTTTAAATCCTAGGGCCACCTACCCACATTTCTGACCTGTAACTTGGTTGTGGCATAGATATGTTAATACCATGCTGGGGAACATTCCAGATAAAGCAATAACATCTCCGTGGGGACAAGTTTCATTCAGTCTGTAACACTAGTTAATGTATTTTAACTTACAGCTGTTACATTTGAAGGATATTACTATTATTAGCACATCATTTACCTTAAAAGTACACTATGTGACTTTGTGGTTGATGGTCCATCACCTATGTGTTTCTATGGAGATATCAATGTTATGTCTGGAATGTTCCACAGTATGACATTAAACAGCTCTACCTTACATTTATTCAATTAGAGTTGGCTTTATAACTCCAAAGTACCTAGAAAAACAGGCATTTTGACTGTGAACAGGTTGCCTCTCCACAGATCTGGTTTGGTCGCCATGGAGACAGAAAGTTTTAATGGCATACTCTGAAATATTCTAGACAAAGCAATAACATCCCCATGGAGAAAAGATTTTGACAGACCCTCCACCAGAAAAGTTACACAATGCACCATTAATGTCACTTGCCTCTTTTAGACCCCTAGCCCTCAATATTTAAAGTCTCTCTTGAATAAACCCTTGACTTTTCACGTGATGTAACCGAACAGAGGAGCAGTTGAGCCGTTGCAATTGTCCTTTTAACACCCCGGTCCCGCTCGCTCATATTTTAAACTAAATACTGCGTTTCCTAACTATTCCACAGGAGGTGATTTTTGTCACGATTTTCCATTGTTATCATTTGGGAGAGGGGGCGATGGGACTGAGTTCAACGGAGGATCCTCCAACTCCGAAAGGACCTGCTCCAGCTGCTGAATCAGGACACGCTTCTTAAACCTAAATCAATCAAGATAATTTGAAAAAAAAAAAAAAAAAAACATTACAATTACAGTTCTTTAACAATATCATTACAGGTTTTATATAGTATAGAAAAATGTGCATGTTTTGGGTTGAAGGCATGATTGTAACTATAATCAGAGATGTAAACTTGTTATAATGCACAGATGTTCACAACTGTTATCAAAAATAATTCTAGATAATACATAAACAGTTGTAAAATGAAAATCCAAGAAGTAATAGTAATAACTGGATTTAATAATAATGATTTAATTACTGAAGTAATTACTGAAGTTAATAAATTATGGTAATTATTTCAATTTAAAAAAAAAAAGTTTCTAACACTACCTACACAGGACAGTGATTTAAATGAAAACAACAACACTTTTTGTCTTTTCACAATACTGAAACAATAATTCGTCGCTGCTCTAATGCCAAAAGTACTGGTTCTACTGTGAGACACTGCTTTTCAAATCTGGGTGGATTATTTTTTTCTATAAATGGGGTCAACTTTAAACCATCATTAATGACATAATCAATAATATTGAAAAGTACTATAGAGTAAACTCATTGTTACCTGGCGGCCTCTTTTATGGCGTGGAGGAGGAAATACTTCTGGACGTTCACAGGACCTTTGACCTCGTGCAGTAACCGCATTATTGCCTCATAATCTAAGAACAAAAAAAGAACAAAAAAAACAACAGTAAAATATATTGACCTTGTTTAAAATATTAAGTTAAACCTGGTTGACGCAATAAAATAAAATAAATTCCTTGACAGTTGTTAAACTACAGATAGTTGTATAGCTCCAAAATACCTAGAAAACAATCATTCTAACTTTGAGCGTGGTTACCTCTCCACAGATCTGACCTGTAAACCCAAAGCGGATCATTGACTATTAAAAACAACTGAATCTGATGTAACTGGCATGGTACAATATTGAAATTTGTTGTCACGATTATCGTTGTTAAAATAATTATGATTAACAATTATATCACGATAATTATTAAAGTTGTTGACAGTTTAAAAATAGTACGCATCTGATTAATTATACGTAATAATATTATAAATAAGTTCCATGTTTAAAGAACTATTACAGAATTGTACTTTGTTATAGGTGAAAACAACAATAATCTAGAAGAAAACATCAAGGGTAAGTAGTTTTTTTTCACACATTCTGGTAATAAAATGGCGATTTTCTTTGTTGATTATATAAAATGTCCCATTAATGATTACTGTCTACCCTTTTTATCACGAAAACAATATTATTATTTATTGTCTCATTCCTAATCTCTACATTTCACTCACTTCTTCCAGGTTTTCGGACCTCCTTGATGACCCTGGTTCTGAGTTCTGCCTGGGTCCCGTCCAGAGGGGGGATGTAGACCGTCTGCAATGCCTCTGGTTCAGTCTCTGAGCTCTCTGTATTACTCTGTGGACTCAGTCTGTCACAGTTATATTTCTCATCCTTCATCTGCTCCTCCACTCCCTCCTCTTCCTCTGCCCTCTCCTCTGCCATGGTCACCTCCGCGTCCTCTTGGTCTACAGTAGTTCCTGGTCTTGGTTTGGTTTCTGAACTTGGCGAGATCTGGTTTCCCATGTTAGAGTCTGTATCGTTGGGCCAGACCTCTCCACACTCAGGGCCCACCTCACCGTTGCTCTCTGGGATGTTGTTGCCATTGTCTAAAACATGAGGAAAATAATATAATGTAAGAAGTATATCGGGGCAATCAAAAGATTTGATTAGACTAGCAATGGAGACATTTACCTTTATATCTAAGGAAAAACTTAGACATATAGGTATATAAGTATATATATGTTTGACTCAAGTTTGACAGCCCCATCACCACTTTCCACTTCCTCTGCACCACCATCACTCAGGACCTCAAGAAGGGGCAGCTCCATCCTCAAGAGGCCCAGCAGAGTAGGTACTTCCTGTAGCAGCTGAGGAAAGCCCAGCTCCAGCCCAGATGATGGTGCAGTTCTACATGACCATCACTGAGTCCATCCTCCTTTTAAAACATTGCAGTACTTATAAAGCATGCACACCACATTACAGTGTCCATTACCTTTGTGCGGTGGAGCTGGTTTGTTGTGGTTCTGTGCTGGGCTCTTGATGTGGTTGGTGTTTCCTATTGGACTGAGCGGTCTCCGTAGTAACGGCGACATGCTCCGTCTCCTCTTCACCGAGGATGACATTGAGTCTCCAGAGTTCACACGCTTTTTATTCTGAGGACCAGTCACAAACTCATCTGCTTCGTCAATCATCATGCCCTGAGGAACAAGAGGAAATCCAGAGATTTTATATCTGTAAATTTTAGTGATAATAGTAGAAGTGCTGGTAGTGGTGATGTCACCAGACAGAAGTACCTTCTTGTCCTGTTTAAAGGGGTTCCCAAATGTGTGCAGTCGTTTGGGTTGGTCGGGGTCGATCTCTCTGAGTGGAGATGGCATCATTTTTAAATATTCCTGATAGTTCCCCATCTGAGCCACTGGAATACTGTGCAGGTAGTCTGAAAAAGAAACATGCATTGCATACCTGATTGAATGAATATAGTTATACAATCAAGCACATTTTGATTTGTTTAATATATTTATATTTTTTATTTTAAAATATAAAAAGCCAAAATATACAAAGGCTATTGAAAAGCTCATAAAATTAATTAGTTTTTCTGCACTTTTGTGAGTAATTTCAAACACATTTCACATTTTAACATTCCAAAAAACAGTGTCTTGATGATTACTTCTCAAATATTCTCTACATAGGACCTCTCCTGGAAGAATGAGGGACTACACCGTCTCATTCCAAAAAACATTGAGATGTTAATATTTGGCAATATCGCCCATCCCTAATTACCGAAGCTAATAGCAATAAAGTAACAACACTAGTAATATTACATTGTCATTGTACTGTACCTTCGTCTTGGCCCCTGATGAGTTTCTGTGAGGTCCGCAGCAGATTTGACCTCATTCGAGTGAGTTGGTCCAACAAATTTCTCCTTGGGATGTCATAAGCATTTCTGTACGCTTGTGGCTTTACATCCTGGGAATATAAAAAAACATTAAAATTAGTTAGTGAAAAATAGGCAAAAGTAATATATTAAAAAAAGTTTTACAGTAACCAAATTATGTAGGTAGTACAGATTGGCCTCCGAAAGATAGTACAAGTGTTTTGAAAATTTTGCCATGTCAAGATAAGATGCAGCTCAGATAAATTTTATTTCATTGTTTTATCCCAGTCAAGAATTTGAGACCCCTTCATGAAATTGAAAACTATATATTTTAGGTACAACAAAACAACCAGACAACAACAAAAAGGGTTTCAAATGTTGTTGATTTGGGACTTGACAGGACTTAAATGAGATGCCCAGTGTACTCTTTCTAGTGGGGGGGTTTGCCACTTGCTTGTCACTCACCATAGAGATGAGAGAGATGCTTTGCCTGGAATGTTCCACAGCATGGCATTACATTAACCCTGTCCATCTTTCATTAATTCAATTACAGATGCCATTTATTGCTAATAAATATCTTGGGAAAAAATATTTCTGAACAGGCTTTACTGAACACACACATACACATATCTGGACTTGTAACTTGGCCTGTTTTTTTATTTTATTGCATTGTCTGAAATGTTCCACAGCATGCCATTAATTATCTATCTTGTAGTTGTTCGGTGACATGTTTTTTATTGCTAAAAACTTGAATTCCTATTACAGACCACCTTACCGCAGATCTGACCTTGATCAACTGATCTTGCCTGGTAGCGTCACCTGCTTGTGTCCATGGAGATAGTTTAATGGCATACAGGCAAAGCAATAACATCTCCATGGAAAGTGGAATTTGTCAGACCTCCCCCAGAAAAAACACAGTGCACCTTTAAATCCAGATTACTTTGACACATTCACTCTATTCACCTTGTTCAACAGTCCGATCTGAAAGCCTGCAAACTCCTTGTAGTTGATGTCATTGACCCGTAGGGGGCCCTCTCCTGTGATTCCCTGCAGCAGCTGTTTAAAGTCGCGGCGATGGGCCAGAGACAGAGCGCCGCAGTGGTTTTGGTTCTTCACTTTAATCCCTGTTTCCTGAGGAGCCTTCTTCCCCACAGACACGATCAGACGGTCTGACTCCATCTTAGCCTGAGCAGAGAAGAATCAACATTTAATTTAGAAATGAGCTACACACATATGTTTTAGCTAGATATACATACAATAAAACTATTAGTCTTCCTATTTTTAGAGTAAAGAAAATTTCCCTACAAGCAAATAAGAAGCTTTATATCACCAGATTTTTATAGAACATCAAAAGTTTAATATAAAGTTAAATTTTACGGTTTTCATAAAACAGATTTTCTCCATATGTATGAAGAACCTTCATGCAGCTAATGCCTTTTGAATGATACTGTATGTTTAAAAATGGTTAAAAATGGTTTTAAGCGCTCAGTAAATCCAGTTGGTTTAGCTTAACTCGATAATAGGAGTATCTTGCATTATTGTTATTACTGAAGAAAATTTCTGTAGCAATATATCGTGCTTCAGAATTTGTTATGGTGACATTGTACCTGTTGACTGAGTTTCTTCAGATAGGAGATGACACTGTAGCTCAGGCCACAGTCCAAGTTATCAGCGATGAGGTTCGGAGCTCCCATCATCCGCATGGCCTTTTTCAATGGCTGCAAGATGAGAAAATACACATTAAAAGGAATTATGTGTAAAATTTAGACTTTAATTTCATGAATATGACCTAACTTTGTCCCTATATACAAGGTAGACATGTTCATGCTTTAGTTCTTAAGACGATCATCCAATCAGAAAGTAGACTGAGGCTCACATGAGTCTCTTGGGTTGCAGTTTCAGTGAGGAAATCCAGCTGGTTTAAACCTGAAAGGACTCTCTGATCTGAATCGTCACTTCCTAAACCCCAGCACCTGCAGTCAGTGTCTCTGCTGCTGCAGTATATGCTGTCCATATACTGAAAATGAGAAAAACTTGTATGTGTCCTCTATCTGCAGGTTTAGGCACTGGCATACCACATTCAGTTGTTATTGTAGGATTACTTTTTTAACTGTAAGAATGCAGGCTACATACCATTCCATTAAACAATCAAAATAACATACAAAATATAAGATATATATAAAATGATATATTTACCAGGAGATAGTATGGAGGCATGGTCTTTAGATACATCTCAAAGGCCTGACGCCATTTTAGGTTTGGCTTTAGTTTGTGCACTTTGAAGAGATCGTCTGGAAGAAAAAAGAATCTTAGAGTAATTAGCAAAACAGTCAAATGATGATCGCTTTACAATACTAGCACCTATAAAATAGATAGACTCCAATATAATTCATTCCTTTTCCCCCCAATCTCTTTTTGTCTTTCTTACATAACTACTTTCCACTTCTGTTCTTTTTATGACTTTTTAACGATCATTCTAATTTTCTTCTTTTTTGGTTTTGGCCCATTAACAAACAGCATGTTGGAACAGCACAATATGTTGTTTGTTAATTATCACCAACCACAATTTGAAACCACAAGATACTAAGATGTATTAAATATCTTAGGTAAAACCAGTTCATAGGTGTTGCAGTGTTTATGTAGATTAAGAGCAGGGAAACATAATTAAGTTCTGACAGTTTGACAGACCACTGATTAAATTGAATTGGGTACTTCAAAATGGTTACCAGTAGGCCTTTCACGATCATTACTATACTGACTTATCGTTCAGAATATGAAACCTGGAACAATGTATTCTGAGGCTCAATATTTAACATTTATATATTTTCTTTGCAATAGTGTGGCATAGTAGTAGCAGCAGTAGCAGCAGCAGTAGTAATAGTAGTACTAGTCACAATAGTAGCAGCAGTAGTAAGTAAGTCAAGTTTATTTATATAGCGCTTTTCACAGACATAGGTCACAAAATGCTTCTCATCCAAAAGGCAGGTCATTCCAGAGTTTAGGCAAGAGGTCTTGAAAGTCTCCTTGTGTTTTGAAGCTTGTCCGTGGGACCGTTAACAAGTAGCAGTAGCACTAGTAGTAGCAGTAGAAGTAATAGTAGCAGTAGTAG